AACATTTATAGTAGCATTTTTTAGGAAAAGCTATTAACGTCGTGCCTGAGACGGTTTGGCGGCGAAGAGGGTGAGAGGGCGAGGGCGGGGAGGGCGGTCGAGCTTTCGGTTATGACAAGCTATTTTAAAAATGGGAAACTTATTTCTAAGCTTTGTTACATTTTGGTATAAATCTATACATATAGGTAATAAAGTTGTAACGAGTTTCAAGATTGGCTATGAAACATTTTTCATGTAGAATGAATTTATTACCTAGATGTAGAATTTTATCTATTCATCTGTTTAGTTACACATCAATTCAAAGACTGACAAAATTGCATTAAGATTTTAGAAGGTAATTATGCAAGTAGATTTGTCTTAAAAAATTACGGGGATTTCCTTGTACCAAGAAATTGTTCATTCATCATCATAGTGAATTTTTAATTGCTTTTGTTTGTTTCCCATTCAGGCAGGACGATTTTTTCATTATTTTTATAAGTTTTACGATTAAAACTCCGGAGCAAAATTTATAATATGGAGTTAAAAATTAAAAAAATCTGTTTATTATATATCTGTTTAGTATATTATGTGATATATCTGTTTAATATTTGGTGGATTTAATTAATGTAATTAATCATAAAAATATCCATACGGTTTCCAAAGTTATGTTATAATTATCTTCGCTGACGAAAGTATATCTATACATATATATATATATATATATATATATATATATATATATATATATATATGTATATATATACTTATATATATATATATATATATACTTATATATATATATAAAGAGGTAAAGTTTGCGAGATTGTGAGGTTGTAGGGGGTAATCTCTGGATCTACTGAACCGATTTAGATGAAATTTGCTAAGAAGATAGTTTGAGACCCTGGAAAGGACATAGGATACTTTATTCCGGAAATCACCCTTAAGGGGGTGAAAAGGGGATGAAAATTTGTATGGGGAATCAAGCTAGGAACGAACCCAAGCGCAGCGAAGGTGAGTCGCTAGTATCTTATAAGAAGCAAGGGCGAGTCGCTAGTCTACACATGTAATAAAGTTCTAACCGAGTCGAATCTGTACATTAAATATATTTTTTGGAAATTTTGTTGAAATAGTAATTATTATCGGTACAGAGGACGAATCTATGGTTTTTAAATTTTTGGCTGTCTGTTTATCTGGGAAAGTATCACAAGAAAACCACTAGACAGATTTTGATGAAATTTAGTACGATGATAGCTGGTTATCCGAGTCGACATATAGGTATGTAGGATACTTTTTACTGCGGGAAAATATCTCATCTCTGAGAAAATACTAAACGTTAAAAAGTAACAAGGGACGAACCCGAGCGGGGCGAGGGTGAGTCGCTAGTGTTATTATATTGTTCCTTTTATGAAAAACATCAGAGCTGACTCAAATGTACTTGTTACTTTAAATATCACTCTCGTTACATCCGGTCGACGATCTTTGTATTCTTTTTACGATTTCTATTCGGTGTACCAAAATGCTTTTTTTATAAATGCCTCCACTTTCGTTCCCCGGGTAAACGACTAAAATGTACAAAAAAATTATATTTAACAGCCTACTTCCAGCCACTTCAAATCCCATAAGTTATGGAAAGTTGATCGAAAATCGATAACCATTTGAAGCATTTAAAGCAAAAATAATTTTTCAGTAGAGTCTTTAATGCATTGATGTATAAGTCCTTTTGAATGATATAAGTAAAGAAACAGTAGTAGACTGAGTCAAGTGGGCATTGTATAAGAACATGGTCATAGTTATATTATTATATCTAATATACATATAATATACATATAATAGTTTATTATTATATTATACGTAACGTAGTTTCGTGATAAAATAAGTCGTTCGCAAAGTATGAACTTAGCTCTCCACTCTTGGCATTGATCGAATAAAGCTAATTAGAATAATTGGGCAGATATTTATAAATATTTTTTATTAATTTATCATAAAAATCTAGCCTTTTTAGGTAAGATAAAGCGATTATGGTATTAGTGTCGACATGGCTCTGAGATGTCCGTCACTATCGTACGCTGCAATCAGAGCTCGCATGCAATAACTATCGGCTTATCGATGTCCGGCTTACATGCCTTGTGATATCTCTTACAGAACTATATATGTAGTATTATGTCATTAGTTTGGTCTACATATCATCGTCTCAGTGCTCATATATGTCCCAACGACCAATTTACCGAAAAGATTTTTAATACAGAATTATTGACTTTTAAAGGTCAATTCTATTGGTATTTAATACACATTTTACTTTAATAAAGCCAAAAAAAAAATCAAATTTGTTACTTACATATGTATATAAATTATATAACTAAAACTTGGTTTTAACACCAAAATATTTTAAAATATAGAAAACAGCTCTCTATTGTATAGTTTGGTGACAATATACGTACTAAATTACACTAATATTATTTTTATAATTTTAGTGTAGCAAATATTAGTGTGTAATAACTTTTTTAAGTTTATTTGACATTTTTTTTCACAAATAAAATACCGATTAAGATCATTTCCATCGATAAAGATCATGTTTATGGCCAATTTGTAGGATATTTTTTTACTTGGAAAATACATTACGAACAGGTGTTGCTAGGGGCGGTGACTTGTAATATAGTAAATACGAAAACTTAAAAAGGAAGTCAGGGCACGTTTTTTTCTTTGGCTTTTTTGAGGTGAAGATTATAAGTTCGTATTTTATATCGTGCCCATTTAACTTACTGAGAGTATAAAGTTTGTGTGGTAAAAATAAAGATAATTACAAGTCTCAAAATTCAGTATTCTTAAGAAATGAAAGTATCAAAGGCTTATACAAGTAGTAATTAATTAAATATGTTAATGTAATGTTTTATTAATAAAAAGTTTACATAAATATAGATAATATATTTTAATACAACGATAAATTAGAACTTCCGAACTTTTTAAAGTCTCCAGAAGTCAGATTCGAATTAAGCCGAAAACCAGTTTTGCTCTAATTCCACAAATAAATGTTCTTTTACATTCGGTTGAATGACAATATGAGGATTCCAAATACATAAATTAAGCAGAGAAATTTGACTTTAAAATCTAGTGTTATAAAGTATAATTTGTTGTGCATATATTTCAGACATTATTCCTGAGGCTGATTGTACACTGTACAATGGAAATCAGGGCGAGATCAAATATTTATGTGGCGAATCGTCTGTAAAGCTAATTCTGAAACTTTATCGCGACAAAAACAATTGAAAATCAATATTGAATAGTTCACGCTTTCACAGTATTTAGCGAGCTGAGTTCTTTCTATATAAATTAGACATTTAGTTATATAAAATAGCAATTTGTTTTGTATTAGAAAGATAAAACAATTTCAAATAAGAGTTTTAAGCAAACTTAGTATTTTATTCGTATGTTTGTTTTTAGTTTTATTAATATACGCAATCCATACTAATACCTATTATATATGTGAAAGTATGTTTGTTTGTTTGTCTTTCTTTCACGTCAAAACGGCTTAGCGGATTACCGTGATTTTTTGGGTGGAGATAGTTAGAGGGCTGGAGAGTAATATAGGCTACTTTTTACTTCGGGAGATTATCACTTTCCTACGGGAAAACACGTTATAATACAATCCAAAAAAATATTTATGATTAGAATTACTTGAAACATGGTATAAATGCTTTTCAATACAATGAATTAAATACTTGTTTTAGCATTTTTCGAAATTCATCCCATAAGCGGATAAATTAGCTGATGAAAGTTTGTATGAAACCTCCCATTTTAGACTTTTTTTTTGAAGTTTTAGCGCGAGCGAAGCCGCGGGCTCTGCTAGTAAACTATAAATAGTAAAATCTAAGCAATACCTTATTGCAACCCATGTTTTATGATGATGTGAATATTTTTTTAATTGAATATAGACCATAATGTCTCTGTTACGTGTAACCGGTAACTGTGTTACAAGTAAAAGATTTTTTATTAAAATATTATCTTTTGAAAAAGTAAAATGTGTTTGTATCTAGGAGATCAAATTCATGAAAAGAAAATTCCAACTAGCCTTATTTGATTTTGGCCATTTTATACTTCAATATATCTTATAAGCTCCTATAGTATATTCGTATAGTGTAGCAACCTACTGAAGGTCGCGTATAGACCAGTTAGCTGTAAGGCCATGAACGACTGTGGGTCGCTAGTGTTCTACAAAAGTGAAGGCTCGGTTACCTCATATAACTTTATCGATAGCTTTCGCACTTCATGTGTGAAATAGGCATTCTACTTTATGATAGAACACTAAACCCTGTTTCGCTAAAACATTTTATTATCCAAGTCAGTTGTTTCGACGGTCACGTACAGTATTAGCTCTGACATTTCTAGTTCTAAGTTAGCTATTAAGTAGATACTTTAACTTGATGTTTTTCACAAGTAATATATAGTTTGCAAATACTCTTTGCTTTTTATTAAATCTAAAGCAAGGGCTTGGTTAAGGTGATTTTTTAAAATCTACTTCAATTTAAGGACTATTTTACATATGCGTAATTTGTATGTATGTTTGTTTGTTACTCCTTTACATCGAAACGGCTGGAGGATTTGGTCGAAATGCAGTACACAGATAGACTATGACCTGGAGTAACGCACAGGTTATTGTTAGGCACCAATAATCGCACTCGAGTAAAACGAGGCTAAGTGCAGTATATGCGATAAGCCACGTGGTCACAACATGCCTTACTTGTTCACGTTATAGCGAATATGTGTGTAGACCGCAGTTTCTTCCTTGTTTTAGATAACAACAAAGCAATAACAGATCGGCCAAAGAATGATAGACTTAATAACTTGGTACTTTCAGTATCTCCCGAGATGTATCACTCAAAACAATGTTACTGAACTTCGATCAAGGCGAGATCGGATCAGTAGTTTCCACATATCCTGAATTTTTTATTAGCGATATCGTTTGTAGAAAATAAACTTAACAGTGAGTTAAATTGACTCTCTGATATTGTGGTTGTTAATAAATAATGTACGTACGTCTCGGTTTATAAAAATTCAATATATACAATTTCGCGAAAGAAGCTTTTACTATCTAATAATATTTTCTGTAATTTCAAAAATGTTTGTTAGTATAATATGAAGCCATTTTCTAAGGTTTTGCTTAACTTTTATTATTAAATTACTTATAATATTAAATTACTTATTCTTCAAAACGATTTTGTAGATGAATTTGTTACGTTGAATAATATTTAGGAACTACTAGTTTTTCTACGGTTTATCTCGTGTGGTACGTATGGCAAGAATAGTTTGTGTTATTCAGAAATATAAGCTATCTACGTTCTGAATTTCACTAAAATCTATTAAGCCGTTACAATATTGAGAAGTTACACTCTTAAGTTTTTCGCGTGCGTAATATAACTAATGTAGTTAATTAAAATCAGCCTAATATATAGGTACATTCTATTGTATAATACTATGTATGTATGTGTACCACTACTGGGCACGGGCCTCCCTTCAATACGAGGGAGATCAGACCATAGTCTACCACGATGGCCAAGTGCGGGTTGGCAGACTTCACTTATCTTTCAAAAACTTGCTAGATTCTTTCTGAAATGCAGGTTTCCTCACGATGTTTTTGTGACCGTGAGTTGCGAGACCCGGTATTTGAATTAGCTTCACTCGGATTCCGAGGCGAGCGCGTTATCACTGGGCTACCACTACCATATAAACATATATACTATACAGGTTATTAATTCATTATAATTAGTAAATGAATTTGTAGAGCGCGTTGCGGCGAGCGGTCTGCACTATTTGTTCCGCGCTTTATGAGCAAACCGCAGTCGTAGCGGATGTGATGTTTCTCTCGTGTGTGCTCCGACTATTTATTTGTGTACATATATACTAATTATGAATTACTTAAATACATATTATTAAATACTGGTTGTTAATTTTGAAATATGTTTGGTTGTTAAATATATTTGGGAGGTTTAAGTTTGGAATTCTGGGGCTATGCTGCTTTTGGCATACGCACAGGAGAAAGAAATGCATGTTATCTCACATATTGAGTACGCCATATAGTAGCAAAATAATTGTAATTATTTCATTGTTTTACTTCAGTTTCAGCTCAATCGGTTGAGGATTACTGCTTTAAAATTCATTTGCAAGATTTGACTCGAACAAACATACATACAAACATTGGAAGTTAAATAAAAGCTTGTAAAAAAGTATTAAGTGAAATAAATCTTAGGAAATCCTAATGGCAACGAGTCGACGCTCGTTGTTTGAAGAGACGAGTTCGGGAAGACTTCGATTCGTCTTAGGGCTTAAGTGTTATAAAATACTGCCGCAACCGCACTTCGCGACGCGACGGAGATATTTCTATCCACTTCGAACTTTGCTCTGAAAATCTACTTGTTTGAGCAAAACTTCTATGAACATATTATATTTAAACTGGAATTATAATAATATGTTAATAATAATAATGATAATAAGTAAAAGAGTGGGCTACAGCGATCTTTTCATTTTTTGTGACAAACGATGTAATTATTCAGTTGCTGTTGCTATACTCGTATGTACGAACATATCATAGTTTAATGACTATTTAAGACATATAGTAAACTATAAACTTTAACGAAATTATCATACATATTTTTTACATTTTAATTTTCATATTATTGTATATATCTATTTGTTACAGTCGAAATTAAACTGCGAAGTGTTAGAGGAAGAATTGGCGTTCGAAGTGCGCTGGGCCATTGCGGGCGACAGCATCGTGCTGCAGCTCGTCGCTAAACTCGGTAAGTTACTTCGAACATAGTACATCAGAGAAAATTGAGAGCAAAAGGTGGACTTATCTCTAACAGAGATCTCTTCCAGCCAACCTATGGGGGTGATAAATAATGTCATTTAGCGGAGCAGAAAACGGAACAAAAAAGTTTTACTAGAAAAATAAACAAATACACCCTTCCACTTAACTTTAAAGTTAAATTAAACTTGATCGAAGTTGTTGTGAAGTATATATTAACTTCATGCAGCGGTGTGGGTTCTGTCCCTTAAGTGAGTTTCCAAGTATATAAATGTAAGCAATAACGATTCAAATATTACTAACGACGTACCATCGCTTTTCTGGGGTATCTAATAGAGTCCGAGGGTGCCTAAATTAGCGTATACGTTACTTTAGGTTGTAGTCCAAATCTAGCCGTATTATTTTATAATTTTAAAATTAGACTATTTATTTAGATACTTATTTAGTTTTTGCAGTTTAGTTTAAATGGGTTCGTATCAAGGAACACTACTTGACCGTTAATCAGAGACGCTCCAATTCATGCGGCTATAGATTACCGCACAGATACTGTTAATTTGCTTTTGATAGCATTTATTACCCATAAATTATAAAAAAATATATGTTAGTTTCGACTTAAACCATGTTTAGAAAAAAGAGTGGCGAGTCTTTAAGCATGCACACCCAGTTAAATATCTACATATGTATAAATCACTCGACCGGGGCCCACTGACGACTTACGAGAATAAACTAGCATGTGACTCGTATATCTGCCTAAGTATCTACTTAAAAACGGTTAATATCTTAATCTATTATTCTCTAAAAGTCGGGAAACATTAACAATCTAAACAGCTACCATTTTCTTGTATGTGGAGCTTAGATGTGCGGCTTACCTTTTTGAATTAGTTTAGATGGCAATTTTTGCTGTCTTGCCAGACGGTCTTATGTTATATAAACGAGGGTTATTACTTTTTAAAATATGAGCCAACACAGACTCGTTATATTTTCATACACTATAGATGAGTTGTAATATTTTTTATAGTCTGGCAATATTGAACATGTCTTTATGCTAGCGGCCTCTTGGCACAGGAAATATATGGTGGCCCGAGAAACTCTAATTTAATGTCATGGCAACTCTCCAGAAATATGAGGGAAGTAACCTATTATGATACTCAGTAACATGGCGTGACCCATTTTCCATAAAAATATTATTTGGATGATGATATTGAAGCCTCTTTATTGTATTGGACAGTAGTATTTACAAGTTATTATTTCAGATTTTATATATAAATATAGTAAAACAACATTACATATCCTTGTTTTTTTTGTATGTCTATTAATTGTTTTTTGCGCATCTACGAGTATATAAAACAGCTGGATAGATTTCATACAAATACTAGCAAATTACCTAGGAGTCTAGGTCATAATCTATTAGTACCTATGATAATTATTAACCAAATCCGTCCTTCCACTTACATGTGTACGGAAATTTCACAATTATAATTGTAGTCAAATTTGACTGAAACAAAGCTAAAAAAAATATTCTTAGTTAGTTTTGCCGGTTTTTTTAATATTGTTTATTCTGAACATTTTTCATAATGCATATTGATGACGTTTACTTACAAAAGTGATGTTAAAGTAACAGATAAAAATATTGTTCTATCGCAGATGAACCTGCTCAGTACATGTCATTCGGTGTCTCCGGCAACCTCGAGCACTCGCGGATGATTGAAGGAGACGTCGCGGTCACGTGGGTGGACAAAAACACTCTAAAGGGATACGCAGAAGATTACTACTTGGAAGCCAAGAGCCAGTGCGCGGGGAAACACGGCTCCTGCCCCGATGAAAAAATTGCTGTAAGTCGCGAAAATTTAACTAAGTTATTTTTGTAAGGTTCTATTTAACTTACTATACCAGTATGTCCATTTATTTCTAGACTTTTGTCTATATGACAGACAGATGACTAAAAACCAAATTCTTAGGTTTTACATATTAGTATACTCTTACATTGCAGTTTTTGTATTTTTTTCCAGAAATGAGATATTTTCTCGCGGTAAAAAGTATCCTATATGTTGACGCGTATAACCAGCTATCACCATACCAAATTTCCCTCTGGAGGTTTTTCTGTGATGCGGTAACAGACAGACAAAAATTCTGGAAACTATAGATTCGGCCTCTGTATTGATAATAATGTTTATTTTAATAAGATTTTCCAAATAATATTTATTGTACAGATTCGGCTTGGTTATAATTTTATTACATGTACAGATGACGTTACATATATAGAAGGACGACACGTTTGGCTTAGTTTGCAGTGAACCTACTTGTTGTGCCAACGGTCACGGGTTCGAGTCCCGCTGGGGGCGTTCATTTGTGTGATGAGCACAAATGTTTGTATATCAGGAGTGTTTATATGTTTATTTTTGTGTGTTAATGTCCTAACATATTATATTATTTAGAATATAAATAGAGGCGTATTTATAACATAATAAAATGTTATTTTAATTTTGAATTCAACATTTGCTAAAGTCTGAAGAAACAGTCACTGACTGATGTAGATAGACCCAAACAAGGGCACCAATGACTTGAATAGTTACAAGGCGAATCTGTTTTAAATTTAAATTCATGCAAAAAGTTAGATATTTTTTTAAGATCCAAAGGTAATTTATAAATTTGTATTATATATATACAGATATATCTGTGTTATCTACCCGTTGATTTGATTCAGTGATTAGATTTAAGAAAGAAATTGCAAGTCCAATCCCCCATTCGGTTACATATTGACATTTTATAACAATATTTGGGGACATGAAGGTAAACGAAAGCAATATTTTCCTTCGCAGATACTTTAATGAATGCAAAATCTGGGTCCTTACAAATTAGCAATCATTTCATTTAAATGGTAGAGTTACCTTCAATGATCTCAAATATAAATATATTCGACTATCACTAGAGTAGATTAGTTGACATCGACACTTCCGAGGAGCTTTACACCACTACATCGTTAAGCAACCTCTACCCATATTGCGCCCTGAGCTATCGGGCGGGCTGGCGGTCGGAGGCCGAACGTAATCTAATACAATATGATAGATTAATCCAATCCAGAAGAGCAGATTGTTATCAGGGGCAGGACGCGTAACGTTTAACGAAACCATATTGTAAGCCCCAGGCACCGATAATTTCTAATCTTACCCATATCAAATAGAATCTATACTCTTTGGCAACCAACTCAGAGCTAAAATCATCTTTATTTCTACGGTAGCAAGAGCTATAATGTCTTGCATAGATTTCTCAATTCCGATAAAAGCTAATTGCTTAGGTTCCATGATATATAGGTCGCATACTTAGTAAATTTCGCCTATACATACTTCCTATACCTAGTTTTGAACGGGATTAATAAGAATGGACTTAAAAGAAGATATTTTGTGGGAACGAAGCCTAGAATATTCAAGTCTAGAATTGAAGTAATTTGGCTGAACAGACTTTATATTGCACGCTCAGAATGTGAGATTCAAATTTTAGCGGCACAATTGCCAAATTGCGTTCCGGGGTGAATTCTTTTCAGAATGTAGAGTCGTTTTTATGTGCGAGAGTATGACCTTTTTAAATTTGTATGTTTCTCATATGAAAGAGAACAGTTGTAAATTCAAACGTATTATATAAAGTTAAATGAAATATAACATTTAATTTGCAATGACCAAAACTATTCAGAATTTCCTCAAATAATAATTAGTTGGTTATGTCTGTGAGCTGTGTGTAGAATATATTTTAAAGTTAAATAAAAATTATAATTTAAATGAAAATATCACCAGTGTTGAGTTTCTTTTTAAGTTTTCGAAAATTTTGGTTTTCTCTTTCCAAACTGGTGGCATTGGATTAAATAGTAACACTAAAATAGGTAACCTAAAGAAAGAAGCATAAAATATAATGCAAAGTTATAAAACAGTAACGGCAAGTAGAATAATTATACATAAGTAGAACAAATTATTCTTATAAGATGGTTAATAAAAAAATTTACAGGTGTGATCTTACTATAAAAGTTTTTAAACCTCAAAATATCTTTAAAATTATGAACAAGAGAATAATAAAATTCAAACAAACTACCTAAACTCAAATATAATTAATTAAGTATATATACAAAACATATGTATATAATTTTGTTACTGTACAAGTCACGTCTGCGTGGAATAGTGGCAAGAATGCTAGCGGCATTCCCCCGTTGAATGGCAATGCCGATTATTTGGACGAAAAACGAGCCAGCTCTCCTGTTCAGTGTTGTCTTTTAAAGTGTTTAGCTCTTTGACTCCATGAACCAATGGTTTCGACAGCAAATGATATAAAGGTATAATTTTATCTAAAGGAGGCGTATTAATGTCGATGTTTTGTATGTTTTATCTAACAGGCAGGCACGAGTTCCATCCGCCTCCTCAACGCCGCGTACGTGAACGGCTACTCCATCGTGACGTACCAGCGGCCGCTGAAGGCTTCGGACTTCTTGGATCGGCCCGTGTTCACCAACAGGAGTCAGCCCGTCATCTGGGCGGTCGGGCCTCTGAATTCGGAGATGGAAGTGTCATACCACCAATACTTCACTAAGGTATTCAATCTTTATTAGTATTATATCTGACAACTATGATAAATGCAAAAGTATGTATGTCTGTGTTGTTTTCCTCACACGGTGAAACATGTGAATGGATTTGGATGTGATAATAGGAACCCGAGCAAAGCGAGCGTAAATATTTTAGTACTCCGACAGAAGTTTGATTATAAATGGGAGCGTGTGTTTTTTGGCTTGTTTTTCTGTTACATTAAAATGGAGTAACTTCAAAATTAATTTCGTTGCATAGAGATAACGTGGGTCCGGCGCCGAGAATGTTTTAATCATGATGGTGGTTTTCGTGATATATACACATACCTATATATTTTAAACGTCTATAAATATCACTATGGACGAGGTATCACTAGTACTTTATTTTTTATTATATATAATAATTGGTCTAGATTGATCATCGTATATCGCAAATAGTGTGCGGGAAGCGATTATATATTAATTGCTTATAATATTGAAGCTAAAAAACTAAAAAAAACCGACTTCCAGGCACTAAAATGTAAAAAATAACTAAACGGAGGTTTTCATTAAGAACAGATACCTAATCAGATATTTTCGAAGTCGGTGCCGAATACCGTTTGAAAGTTTTTATTTTTCCATTTTTGTATAAACGTAATAAGCAGGTAATTTTTAACAAGAAAGTTTCTTGGTAACATATAATATTGTTTAATATTATTAAACAATATATTTAAAAAAAATGTTGTTTACGACTGATTTCAATAAAATTTATATGGGACCATCTGAGAATACCCTTATACCCTTTGAAACAAAAAAAAAGATTCCGGTGAATTGAGATCCTCCTCCTTTTTAGAAGTCGGTTAAATACTATATCGTACTATACGTAGCAGTCTGAGTACGAAGTTCATTGTAATGACATCAAACTTATGTGCGCTCTACAAAAAGCGTACCTTGCAAAAACTAACTTTAACTATAACTTTGAAATCCTAATAGGCTCGTGCAAAATTACAGGCAAGCAGCGAGCATCACGTGCTATTAATTTTTAACTTTAAACTGTGAAAGTTCGTTTAGATTGGGTTATTTGTGTTGACGTGAGTGTTGAGTGGAAACTTGCATGTACATATGTATTTGTACTATATATTCTACTTGTAATTAATTAAATATAATATTTTCATAACCTTTTACTATATTAATAAGAAAGTTTCGTTTTGTCCGTTTAAAATAATCTTTTCAATTTATTGTCTGTGTAACTCTCCCACAAAGATCAAGAAAGTTTAATTATTATATTTAATTTTATACATCCCCTATATATATATATATATTAGTTAGTCTAAGTTTTATGCAATAATACAAAGCGATGAGTTAAATTTTGTGTAAAAAGTTGTCGTTACATTTTACTTGGTTTGTAAACATATTGTTTTTATTAATATTCTAATGCCTGTTTTCCAAACTTTTACACTACTTATTATTCCATATCAAAGAATGTTCTAACTTTTCAAACTCCGAGTAGCGCACCTGATGTCGAAATTGTTTTTGTTGAAAGCAATAAATAGCTTCGCTAATTCAAATAGTGGTATATTATGTTTTAAATGATTTTCATTTTTACGCATAATGCTTTCAATTTTAGTGTAGGATAACCCCCGAGTGTTGGTTTTTAGTTTTCATGCATAAGGCATGAGAATCAAAAGCCCGAATTTTATTATTTTCTTTGTTGATCTCAATAATACTAGCTGAATTGTATTGTATTGCATATTTATACTATTGGTTCTAATGATATATGGATGATGTCAGGGTGATAAGTTCTTCGAGTTCGGACGGCCACCCATCTGGAACTGCCCTATGCCCGAAAGTGATGAAATGAAGGCTCCCGTCCAAGAAGAAAGCTCCACAGCTGAAGATTATGTAAGTACAACTTTGGATATTAAAACAAATGATTTTAGTTTCAACCTTAGATTTTTTTTACCAAATATCATTCTATATTTTATATATTTATTACATTTCATATTTATATTTTTATAAAATTTTCAATACTGTTGTTTTGTGTAAATCATTAAGAAGTACACATAAAAATTAAAGGCACATTTAAACTCATGTTTATTATATCAGCTCGGATTTTGTTTTTTTTTCATTAAAGCGTCTGCTGAAGTAGACCGAGTATTTATCACGGCGTATGTAAATCTGAAGGTCGCGTCTGAGCATCGCTCCGACGTCTTCGTATATTAGCTCTATATTCAAATTTTCAGAATGCTAAAATATCACAGTTTATAATTTGATTTCAGTTAAATGTATAGTTTAATGTAGCATTAATCAAGTATTACTTATTATGTTTACGCTATAGTTCTGGCTATTTTACGATTAAGATTTTTTTAATGATATTTTTAGTATTTTGTACTTGTTCTTTCTACCGCGGGGACTCTCGCCTTATTTTCTTTTCCTTGCTTCATATGTTTTGAGTGTATAAATGATACTTTTTAAATTATACACATGTTTTATATTATGTCATACGACTGAACTATTAATATACCTACGTGCTACAGCCAGGGCTCGGAAACCCTAACCAAATTTTAAACCGGTTTTGGTCATTGACCCCGAACCGAAAGGCTTTCTTTGACCGGTTAAATCTGGGAGAACGGTTTTTACGAATTTAAGTTCCATGAACAAAATTAACCGGCTAAAATAAGTTTTTGTGTGTTTACATTTGGCGGCATTAGAAGGATGCATGCACATTGCACGTTTATTACTTATGAATGAATTAACCGGTTTATTACGGTATCAAAGCCGAAATCCAACCATTCTCTAAGAATAACCGTTAACTACTAACTGTTAAGTCGCTAGTTTTAAATAAAACTCTGTAAAGTGTTCCCGGGAACCAAAAATACAAAAATAAAATAAAACTCAAAAAATCCTAAAGTTAAGTTTTATTTAAAACAATAATTATTATTTTAGACGTCAGTGGTAAAGTTCAAGCCGGTACCGACGCCGCGGTCGGTGCCTCGTGTGAAGCCGTGGGACATCCCCGGCATACAGTGCTACGAGCCTCCAGATGGCGTTTTCTACGCACAAATGGGTCCCACTGGTGGGAAACAGGGATACTCTGCTATAACTGGTAAGTTTCTTCTTTTGCCTTACATACATACTTTTATTACATATATACGTTTTTTCATGCTATGTCCCTTGACATGGGGTAATAGAAAGGATCAGGGAATAGTTGTATGGTGACATGCAATAAGATCACTATACATTACATAGCCTTTTTGCTCTTCAAATGTAATTATTTTTATTCCTACTTTCCATCAAATGACCAACCATTAATCAGAAGTGAATTGAACTTTTGGAAGTATAATAGATACTTGATCTTTAAAAGCTCTTCGAGATTATTGTATTTATGTCAGTATTTATTTTAGAATAGTTATGATTATGTAAGCTAAGATCCAAAAAATGAGTATAAATATAAATTGAGATATAAAATAATTAATATATAAGTTGAATCTGATATTTTTCTAAGAAATTTTATGTTTTGTGTAAATTATACAAAATACGAAAAATTTCTTCGCATAAAAGCCACTTACTGAAAGTTGTATAACTTTAAACATAACGAATATTTGAAATGTATGCGCTTAAGAATAAGAAAAATATTGTTCTGTATTTATATTCAATGTGCAGTTTAGCTTTTCAAAGCTTTCTACATAATGTTTAATTCATAGACTATTGAAGTATAAATAACGATGTTTGAAATATTACAACAGCTTGAAATATGCAACGAGGAGTATAATTATATTCCATACTATTTTTATTCCTGCTGAAGTACACTTTTCTGGATGAAAATCTATGCGTCTGCTTTATAAATATGCTGTTAATATAAATTTATGAATTTTATTACAATTTAGTCTCATTTTACTTAAAATTTACGACTGAAAGCATTTTATAAAACTAATTTTATATTAATAATATGTATGCATTTAAAGTTTTATATCAACAATCTGGTATCCATAACACAAGCCTCGTAGCTCACCATGGAACTAGATGGTGCTGTGTGTTCATGTCCCAACATATTTATTTATTCATTTATGCTTACTAAAAATCTATAATTGTTCCTCATTTTCAAGTTAATTTAACACACTGCATTTTTAAATATAGATAAGTCATGATTAGTTTAAATTTAAATCTTATTTTTACCAGGTCACGTCGGCTGGGGTATATCTTGGTACATCAATGGTCTATTGATTCCCGAGATAACGGTAGTGCGAGGCAAGAAGTACACGTTCGTGACCGAAGGTGGCACTGACCCTGAGGTTCCTGCTAGATACCATCCCTTCTACATTACTGATGACCCTGTTGGGGGGTACTTCCACAAGTCGGATGCAGAGAAGCAGGTATAACTTATTAATATTGTATATGTGAAAGTTTGTGAGTATGTATGGATGTTTGTGACTCTTTCACGTCAGAACGGCTGAACGGATATAGATGAAATTTGGCACAGTGATAGATTATATAGTCTGGAAAAACACAAAGCCTACTTTTTATCTCGGAAAAATGTACGGTCGGGAACCGTACATTTTTACGGGATCATGGGATAGCTTTGTTATTGTTTTCCTAGAGGTGAACCCGAGTGAAGTAAGGGTGAGCCGCTAGTATTGAATATTTTTCTAACGTCTACTCACGTGTCATCTAAAGTGAGTTGATGGTACTAAGTTAGGAGCTTACCAAACCTATAATAACAGTTTTCCCTCCCCAAAAGGATAACTCAAGTTCCACCTTACAATCAGTTACGCTGACAAAAAGAACAATATATATTTATCAATTTCAGGGTATAACGATCTATGCAGGTGTGCGTCGTATGAGAAATGGGGAATTAGTACCGACCGGTGTAGGTCGTCTCTGTAACTGGACGCCAGACAGTGATGGTCCTGACGCCGATGAGTACCCTAGCTTTGGAGCCTATCAAAGATCACTTACTTTGATTTGCGAAGAAGGCAATCCAGGAGTCGTAACTTGGATACCAGATAAAAATACGCCTGACACTGTGTACTACCAGGTAAGTTTTGTAACATTATGCTTAGAATTTATATCGCATTTATTTTTTATGTTACTTGTTCACAATTGTCCCAAAAATAACAACAACAGTACATTTGATTGAGGCATCCCCTGAGGCTAAAATCTTGTCTTCCGTTGCTCTGTCTACTCCTCTATTATTATGACTCTTAAAATAATAAATTATACATATATCATTATACTTAATGCACTTTTTCCAATCAATCCTTATATAAATATAATACAAGAAAACTAAAGGTTTATGAATGAAATAACTTTTTATATGAAAATCTAATAGCTGGCTCTAGAACTTAAAGTCTAAAAAGTTAAGTCTCTTGTAATAGGCATAGATACAAATTAAACTAAGTGATTTCATTCAATAAATTTAAGATCTAACTTTATATACTTTTCATTGAACGGTTATCATAATACCTGCTCTTTTTTTAATGCTATATCATTGACGTAAAATTGTAAAATATTGATCCATTATTGTCTAACTTTACTTGTAAATGCTCATCTTGTATATAAATCTCACCTTCTGTTTTCTGTTTCAGCCTTTCAAGTCTTCTCGCATGAAGTATACTTTGTGTCTTATCCGTTTCATCGGTGATAGAACATTGCATATGTTTATAAGTTATTTTGAATTATACTATAATTAATATTTATTTTTTCAGTGCTTTACTCATCGTTATCTTGGTTGGAAGATACATGTAGTTGACGAGTGCGATGCCACAGAGGCAGCGGAAAGTAGAATCGTTGAAACTATAGCTCTTCCATCCGATTTGTTAGGCGAAGAATCTATTCAGGTACAGAGCCGTATGAAACCAGACGCAAACTTTTTAGATCAGCGCAAAAAAATAGAGAAAATAATCAATACGAAACAAAATTATAACGATTTCAGTAGCGATAATGGAGACGGCCTCTCGGGGGAAGTGTATCCGGTGCCCGGCAGCCACATCCGCCCTTCAGGACACGAGTTTGAATTGCCGATATCCAAACTACAAATCAAAGAAGTAATTGAAACTGTAGAAAGCTTGGAAGATCAAATGAGAGAGGAGATGAAGAAAAACTCAACACATCCGCAAAAGTTACAACAATATCAAGTACATGAAGATGTCAAGGAGTTTGTACCAGAACAACCGATACGTGAGGGAGATGAATATATATTTGATATGGTAAAATCACCAGAAAGCTTTTTGTTGCCTCCTAATCAAAAGCCACAAACATTACATAATGTATTACGTCCAAACTCACCGAAACCAATAGGAAATATGAGACCACCATTCCGCAGACCTGTACCCCCAGAAATAAAGTTACGTAGACCTTATCCCATGCATAAAGGAAATAATCCTTATCCTTTGTCTATGCCAAATCCACACCCACAACATACCCATGGAATGTCAAAAAAACCAAATAAACACCACAATAATCGTCCTCCACCAAATATGAATAGACCTCAGCAGCCTAATGCTCCACCTATGAAAGCAATGCCATCCATGCATCAGAATAAACCAAATTTCTATCAGGTGCCTCCGAAACATTCACACAAACTACCCACCACACCTCTGCAACCAATTATAATTGGAAAACCAGGGCACAATGTTATAGTTCCACCACAAAGTCAGACGTTGAGTTTAGGTCATACTGATATAATTGCAAACCAAGTCGTCAAAAGTCAAATAACATTACCAGGAAATATTGATGCTGTCGCTCAGCAGAGCGCTCCTCCAGTATTCTTTAATAAACCAGGACAAATAATTCTTGGAAAACCCATGGATCATCCTTTGCCTTTAGATCAACAAATGACGCAAAGCAAACCTCAATCTACAAATCCTCTAAGAATATCTTCTTCACCTCAGCCAGAAATTCACTATCATTCTTCAACTTCTCAAGAAAAACCTACCGAAAATGTTCATATTCAAAGCGATATCAAATCGTCTGATTTTATGGGACAGTCAACTGATTCTTCAACATTTTCACCTGCAATTAATACAGGCTTCAAACCTGACTCCATTGTTATTGAAAGTGGATTTAAGCCAATTATACGGGAGCCATTAATGGCTGGGGAAGACAAAATAGCAGAATATGATGGAAATAGTGCAAATAGACGAGAGGATACCGATGTAGAAGAAGATTATGAAGAAGCACCGCAATATATTAATTCAAATCATGCTTATCCTAGTGATAAGATAACAGAAACTTTCGAACCGATGTTTATACCGTCTCCTCCAGATCATTTACTGTCAAGTAATGATAAAACTAAAGAAATATTTCCAAGTAATCATGCTAAGGAAGACAGGCCTCATCCAGTATATGTAAAAACTGAAAATGAACTAAACGCTTTATTTGGGAAGAAAAACATGGAACGAGAAGCGCCTTCAGATATGATAATGGAATCAGATAAAGTAAGCACACAATACTTACCACCTGCTCCTAAATTATCCAAAGAGTACTCACAAAAATTGACATCTGAACAAACATTTACTACTTATGATGGTAAAACTATATCTGCTGCGACTTTAACTAGTGTCCCAGAAGTTAAATCTAATACAAAAATATTTTCTTCAAAATTGCCAGCAAATACGGAATTACTGCTTAAAACACCTCAGTTTGGCCCGTTTAAAGGAGAAATTCCTCCAGTAATAGCAGAACATATCCCACCGGATATGTCAAATCTTCCTATTCCAGTTATTTCTAATAAAAGAACGACTCATTTAAAATTGGTCAATTCTTTTCCAAAACATGATGCACCAGTATTAGAAGACTTAAAAGCAGAAGATAGTGAAAAACACGAAGAAAAAGTACAGTCTGAGAACGAAGAAGAAGAAGATGATGAATATGAAGAAGATGGATCGGAAGATGAAGAAAGCAAACGTCGTAAAAGAGATACAAAAACAGCGCTATTTGAAGCTGGAAAAGTTGATGAAGGAACAACTGAAGTGAATGGGAAAGATAATGATTCGATAAATCACATGGATTTCGAACCCGTTTCTTCGTCCTCTAAAATGTCTTCTTCGTTAACATATTTTATAATACTGAATGTTTTAAGAAGGTTTTTCTAAAGTCATCTTTCACTCTAAGTACTTATTTATTGAATTATTTATTGGTTTTAATTATTGTGCCTTGCCATTGAATGCATTTGGTCGATTATAGTTTGTAAGTATGGGTCAAAGCTGCGCTTTAAAACTCAAATTTCGATTTCTCAGCAGACTCCTTGACACTAAACACTAATTTCACCTGTTACCACTTCACACGCGTCATGCAATTCAATACTCTGTTAGTTGTAAGGTTTTGTAAATATTTTTACTTTAATAATAAAAATAGAGTTACATTTAAAATTTCTTTTATTTTATTTTTTTAATTTTTATTTTTTAACAAGTACCTAATTAAAACATAAAAACAATAGAACGTCTTTCTTTATATAATATAAAAAAGTAATACCAAAGTGATTGAGCATATCCAAAGTAAGTGTATGAATAATATTGACGGATAAATATTCGATTTGAAATGATGAAACAGAAGACAAATCAGTATTTATAAAACTTTTTATTCGTCTTATTTGTTTGCTTTTATTGAAATCATTAATGAGTAAAGTAGGTAAAATGTATGTTCTACACAAATTTCATCTTACCAATATAAATAACATGTACTCATAGTAGAGACATAACAAATATAAAAAAATCTGATATGTTTGAATTAGTAAAGTAGTAATATTTAACTATTATAAGTCCTTCTAGTATTTAACTTAAGCAAGGTATAAGGTAATTCATGTGGAACTAAAAGCCATAGTGAAATATTTAAGCTAAGATACGTTTATTAATAGTATAGAATTTGACAATTTAGTTCCTTAAAGCCTCTGGTTATGATAAATAATTTTAGGATTCTCTTTTCTTCCCTATAAGGCTGATTGACTAAAAATTATTTAACACTCAGTAAGGTATGAACACTTGAAATCTTTTTGGTAAGACGGGTGAAGTTGGCGACCACCTTCTCGTGTTGGAATTGGGAATCTACGAGCCGCAACACAGACTCTCGTCGACGACCACTGAGAAATATACAACATAACATCCTTCATCCTTATTTAAATTAATAATGAATAGATTAATCGTACTAAATTAATAATTAATTCCCCATAAGCGATTTCGGTCACGAAGGTATATTTTATTGAGACAAGCCACCTATAAAAAGGGACTAAATCTTTATCTCTTTTTACTGATACATTAGTTTCATGCATCAAGGGTATGATATTGCCAACTTTCCGACTTCTTGCTGATACTTCGTTTGACAGAACAATCCAATAAACTAGAATTGGCCTTACTTGAGACTCGAATCCATGGCTGATCTATTGGCAAATATATTAGTCACTAAACCAACTAGGCTGTCAATATTAAACTGAAATAATATTAGTATCAGAAGTATTCCTAACCAGTCTCGTAATAGATATGTATATATATTTCTTTGACGCTAAACTGTGGATTAAGGAGACATTGAACTGAGATGACTTCATTTTTGAGCAATGTGTTGAAAGGTTTACTTTCGTAGATAGAAAATTTATTTTAGTCTATCTTTTTCAGCTTTCATCATTAACAGAAATTTAATATATTTGATCGCAGAAATACAGGGTTGTTGGCGCAATGTATAAGTAAAATATCAGATTACCGTCGGTCTTTGAGAAGGCGCGCGGCGGCCGCCAGCGACAATTGTCTATTGTCTACAATCTCCACATCACTCCCGCGCCGGACCAGCTCTTCTATTATTTCAGTTTTAGCACCTTGGCAGACTAAATAGAGCAGAAACACGTTATAGGTATTAGTCATCTGAAAATGATTCGACTTATTGGACTACTATTATATTCTATGGGATAGTTTGTATGTATGTTTGTTACTCCGTCACACTGAATCGGCCGAACGGATTTGGATGTATTTTAGAAATATGGACTATGACCAGGAGTAGCATATAGGCTACTATTAGGCAACTATGGGTTCACTCCAACATAGAATGGATCAGTCGCTAGTGAGAAAATTAAATGTTGATACATTTTCGGTCTTAAAACATATTGTATTTGGTTTACAGCCATTAAATTAGCATGTCACTTTCCAACCTATAAATTGTTTTAAAGCAAAAAATCATATTGATATACATATATGTACCCAGTTCTCCTTTTACTTAAAAACACACATTAACAATATTAGTAAGGACATTGTCATTTGAGACATTTGTCAAATATAAACCTATTTTATATTTCCTAACTACAAAATTTTTCATCGGTCTAAAATCACAGATAGTTAAACAATATATTGTTTACATCATAAAAGAAAATAACTTAGTTAAATAAACTCAGTAAATTACACAAACTGACCTGCCCTAAACAGCGGGGTCCATCCGTTCCCGTCGCGTGCGCCCACGTCGCCGCCCGCCGCCAGCACGAACTTCACTGCTCCCAAACTACAAGAGTCTACTGCGTAGTGCTCTACTCGCAGCTTATTGAAATCACGGGCCTGTAATACACATTATATGATACTAGCGACTCGCCCTCGCTCCGCTCGGGATAGTCTCTAGTTACGTTTTAACGTTTAATGTAGATTTCTCAGAGATGAGACATTTGCCCGCAGTAAAAAGTATATGTGTCCCGGATAGCCAGCTAACATCATACCAAATTTCCTCAAAATCTGTCAAGTGGTTTTCTCATGATACGGTCACAGACAGACAGACAGACAAAAATTCTAAAAGCTATAGATTCAGCTTCTGTTTCAATAGATTTTCAAAAAAATATTTAATGTACAGATTGGACTCAGAATTTTATTATTATGTATGCATAAATTTTATCTTATCATATTAATATTATAGTAGGTATAATACGTGAAGCAAATACTTTGTACCCATTTTTACGAAAATTGCGCGGATGGAGGAGTATGAAATTTCCCACACTTATTATTTATATAGAGAAGGAGTGCAGAATGCTAATATTTTTTTAAACTATACATAAAAAATATAATAAATTAATAAAAAAAAACATTACACACACTACCATGTATTTGACAAATACACACATATACACTCTTTTGTTTATTGTTAAAGTCTGTGGACTATGGTCAAATTGAGATTTCATAGGCTATCTATATAACTTTGAAAAAATAACCTCAATATCGATCAAAGTTATTGAATTATGGTTGATTTTCAACCACGACGCGATCACTAGTACAGTTTATTGTATGAATCTCGGCGCTAACGATTTAGATCGAATTTTCTATTTAGATAAGGTTTTGTTTTTTAAGTTTATCTTTATGTGTCTTTTATGAAAAAAACCCAATTTGTTATTTTTATCGAAAAACGCCGAGCGAAGTTCAGTCACTCAAGTATATTTAATAAGATAATATTTTACTGAACTGAAATTAAACTTTATTCAAATATACTTCTTATAAGCACTTTTGAACTGTTTACATGGAATATGACTTTATCTGACTTTAAGAACATTTAATTGTTCGTGTTTTTAATATTTTATTTTTGGCACAATGGCTTTTTAGAATATCCGTTATACTTATACTGATTACAAAATGATCATTATATTTTGTTTATTGTAATTTTACTAGAGGCCCGTCCCTAAGAAACTTTTTGAAATAGATTAGTATTATAGAAATTACTTGTTAAATAAAAATAAAATATTTATCCCTATACAATATTTATTTTATTCACAGCAAAAAACAAATTTGTATTTCATAATATTTTTCAAAGTTACATTTTCGACTGCTAAACTAACAAAGTGAGAAACCGAAAAACTATAACACACTAATTGTTTATAAAAATAATGTAGATTCTTTAATTCGTTCTAAGGACAAACTAACACACATATTAAATATTGGATTTTTTGGCATTTTTGGCATAACAATTGTAACAAAATATTATAATACTACTACCTAGAGTAGTTGTGATAAAAGTCAGTCACACTTTATGTAATTGGTAATGGCTTTTAATCGTGCCAGTTAGGTAGCTGCTGCTAGTTAGCTACTTGTTTATTATTATACTAATCTCGTGTATACCGGATAAGCTACGACATACATTATTCGGTAAACTAATATTATAATAAATTTCCATTACCGACCAATATTCATCATATATTAGGTTTCTGAAGTTATACTTCTTTTTTATTTATATTTACTTGAAAATCAGCGCCTTTTTCAAGCAAAAGTTCAGCGATGCTGATGTGACCAGCGAGAATTGCCAGATGCAAGGGAGTCTGCCCAGCCGTGGAGCATTGGTCTAACTCCGCGTTGGACGTTAGAAGAAAACGGACCATGTTCAGATCACCTGTTAAATATATATATGTTTACTTTACTCTACATTATATTGGAATACATGATTAACTTCATTAAGCAGGATAAAAATAAAACTATCTTTTCGGATTTTTTCGTGGATTCCTGTTGATTTTTAGTTGGGGACCATGGTTGTTTCGAATGCTTTACACTAATCAATCACGGGGAAGACTAAAGTTTTAGATACCTCAAAGATCATCATATAGTTGTTACAGATACCCATAAAATTATACTGTATTATAAGATTATAAAAATTGTTTAAAATTAAAATTTAAAGTACTTAGTGTGCCATTTTCGTATTTTTGAAAATCCTTGTATAATTTTGTGTATAAAATAAAAATGTTGTCAGTGACCATGAACGCTTAAAGATATAAATTGTTTTAAATCAGTGTTAAATTAGGTGATTGATTACTGGCCTCCCCCCCAACGTGCGTTCACCTTGTCGTGGTGGGGGGGCTCAGTAGTGCCCGGCAATCCAACCGGGCGCGAAGCTAAGAAACGCACAGGGAGGTTGCCCACTTCGGTGGGCGGTGGGAGGTGGCACTCTTCGGGGGGCGGTGCACCATGCGGGTTGCTCCTGGTACTTCTCTGATAGCAGAGTGGACTGTGGAGCAACCCCATGGTTGTGGTGGTCTGCTTCGGCAGACCTGCCGTCGGGGCGTCGTAGTTGAATGCGTAAGCGATCCTGCGACGCCCCATTAAGACGGGGGAAGGTTTTGTTGGGTTTTAGTGGGTAGTACTGGCTGTATTACACCGGTGAGTCCCACACGTCGTGCGTAAATGCATTTCCCAACGTTAAAAAAAAAAAAAAAAAAGGTGATTACTGGCCAGTGTTTAATTGACAGAAATTGGGCTCAGCTTTGAGTGTGTCCCGTGCTTCTAGCTGCACGTGCTTGTTGGTTAAACGCGATAGGTATCTCGAATTGAATTGAGAGAGAGCCATTTGCATATCAATAATTTCACATAGAGTGCTATTTCAAATGCTCATACTATATCGATTTAGTTCATCCGCGAAATCTTAGTATACCAGAATAAAAGTAGCTTAAGTCATAAACAGTGTTGTGTCAAATAAATAACCAGTACCTGGGCGACCAAGCTTCATTCGGAGTTCTTTTTTGTTACATCGTATTATTTAGCTAAAAACAACTAAAAACTTGAATAAATACAAAAAAAAAACAAAAAGAAACAAAAGTAAAAACTTTGTATCCGACCGGATTTTGAACCAGGAACTACGATGCTTATGTCCGAGCGTGCGAAAATAGCGACCATATTTTGCGTGGAATAATACGAAAGAACCGCATAAAACTCGAAAACACGCGTTTTCCCAGACATAAAACTAATTCAGATCAATTTTTCGCTCCCGAAAACCCCCACATACCAAATTGCAACGAAATCGTTAGAGCCGTTTCCGAAATCGCTGGTATAAATAAATAAATTTATAAGAATTGCTCGTTTAAAGGTATTGGATATTTGTGATTAAGTTTTAATCGGACTATTATTATATATGTTATGTAATTGTATATGTGTATGTACGTGTGTGTATATGTGTGAATACGTGTATACGTATATGTGTATCCAGCTTGATGTATTTGTGTGAAATGTAGTATAAGCACTATGACCTGGAGTCGATACAACGGCTACTGTTAGGTATACAAAGGCAAAGCGAGAGTTAGTCGTTTGTTATTAGATAAATTTGTTTCAGTGCTTAAAATCTAAGTAAGTCAATATTGACTTTAATGATTAAGTATCAATATTATCAATAAAACGCTTGACCTTTCTTCACGGCGGTGGCGAGCGGAGTGAACCCGTTGGTAGCGTTGACGACAGAGATCAGCGACGGGCGCTCGTCAAGCATTTGCTGCACCTACAGCAGAAAGCATAACTTAAATATTTACAGTGATTACAGTGTTTTAAAATACTTCTAGTTATAAATAAAAACATAAATACCAGCCAAAAAGAAAAGGAAATGTTTACTGTAATAATATATGATTGGAATATTATAATTTAAAATCAAATACAAGTATCAGCCTGTATACTAACCTGTTTTAAGTAACCACATCGCACTGCCATACAAAAGCAGATTGCAGAAGTACCATCCGAGTCTGTGCTGGTCCAGATCTCGTCCGACCACCGGGACTCCGCCCATTTACACCTGAGGCCAAAATATGTTTATTACACTAGCTTTTTCTCAAGACTTCGCTCCCATAATATAAAAAAAAATCCTTTATTTTAGAATATAAATATGATAGTAAGCAAATTTATTCCGTTTCATAAACTCTTGCATATTATACAATTCTCACGCGGTTTCGAATCCCCAGAAACGATTTGATATACTTCGATATAGGGTTTACAGTTTATTCTTAAATGATAATAATAAATAAATATGTTGGGATACACTTCACCATCTAGTACCATGCTAAGCTACGATGCTTGTGTTATGGATACCAGATAGTTGATACACTACTCATAGATAACTTTTAATTCATATATATATATAAATACCCATGACTGGAGTACAAACATTCGTGCTTATCACACAAATAAATGCCCCCAGCGGGACTCGTACCCGCGACCGACCATGACACAGTAAGTAGGGTCACTACAAACTAAGCCAAACGTGTTGTCAATGCATATACAATACATGCGTCATATTAGAATAAAATAAAACCTGTACTATATAAAAAGTAGGTCGATTGTAATAGACAATAGATCCGATTTCCGACTGCGATGATCATAATGATAACAATAAAACGAAATTGCTAGTCATTTTTTAAATATTATTTATTTAACTACCTAAAAAGTAAGTGGTGTTTCAATTTCAGTGTTTATTTTATGTTCTTTATTTATTTAAAAACAAAGTTAGTTAAAAAGTAAGTTGTTAGTTACTATGCTTTCCATGTCTCTTAAGAAACGCAAAGCAGAACCTTCAAACGTATCCAATTTCTATCTACTAATGACCCTTAATTTATTGATCTGACCTTGACCTCTTTCGAGCTGATTGAAATCTAATGGGCCAAAATGATTTATGACCTCCGCCAGCAATCCAATCGTGGATCAGAATCGATCAATTGGGAGACATTTTCAAACCAAATATTAGCCTGTTCGTCCAAAGTCGAGTACACTTTACCTTTTTTCAAGACCTTCAACCGTTTGGTAAGACAAAAGCGTTTTTCCACAGCTCATTGTGTATGAAACGGAACTCGCTTTGTTGTCTTCACTTGAATTACTTTCTTTACTTTGTTTCCAATCTTCCGATTCATCAATCGCACTCAGTTCCTCGCAAATCGCTCGCGCGTCGTCGTCTCTGAGAGACGCGAGATGTGATGTTGATTTGATTATTACTTTCATCCTGAACCTGTGCGGATGACTTGGCGCCAGATTTTCTAATGTTTTCATCGTTTTTCCTCCGCTGGAAAAATAAAAGCGATTCATTCTAAAAAAAGTTTTATTATGATATACGAAAAATGCAAATAAAATTCGTATATATTCTTTATTACACACCACAATTTAGATTAAAGAATAGAAACTAATTAAAGGACAAGTAGCAAGATAGGCGGGCTTATCATTAGATACCGATATCTTCTAGGCAACCTGGTGTGGGTGCATTTTTTGCGCCCATTCCCTCTCTTGCTTTGCATACATTGTTTTTTTCTTTTTTGTATTCAGCCCTTTTTAACACCCTACTGCTAGTCACGGGCTTCCCATCAAAGCTAGGAGATCAGGCCATAGACCACCACGCTGACTAAGTTTCGGTGGGCGGACTTTACATATCTTTCGAAAATTTGCAAGGTTTTCTCAGACATGCATGATGCAGGTTTCCTCACGATGTTTTTCTTCACCGTAAGACAAGTATTACGAGTCTATCTCAGAAGTAGGTCAGGTAGGCCAAGTAAAATTCGGTGTAACAGCACACAGTTTTTATTATTTGATACAGAGTCAGAGTAACACCTCAAACGACATTACAAAAAAGAATGATGCATTATTTAAAAGTCAAGACACGAAATACAACGCTGCTCCCGCTATTTTTCCACTCAAGATGACTCAAGATAACAAATAAGTATTTTTACACAGAATGATAACATAAAGAATAAAATCATGAATCTACAATAACACATATAAATTATGTTTTATATAATTAATAATTTCTATTATTCTTAGTATGACACAAGTGATAGTGATTATGTTGGTAATTATTCGCAAAAGAAAATATCAGACGTCCGAGACCCAGGATTTGAACCAGCTTCACTCGGTTTCCCAAGTGAACTCGTTACCACTGGGCTACCACGTCCTTTTTTCTTTTTTATGTTTGTAAAATGCAGTTGAATTTTTAGCTAAGGTCTACCAATGACAAGTACTGATTGAGAACTAGAATTTTGTAGAAGATATAACAATATATAAAAACATAAGAATGATAAACTCTATTTAAAGTATAAAAAAACCTAACAACAGACTATGCTAAAGTTAATCATATTTAATTATAATCCACATTCTCTTGCGAAAATTTCTGTAAAATTATTTCGACCTAGTTTTGGGGAAATGGTTGGCGGCCCGTTGGACGGTCAGTGTAAATATTTGTCCTGTAAAAGGCATAATTCTGCGAATCTCAGTATATTTAATTAATTCAATATTTTGCTGAGGAAATATTTACTAATAAACTGAATTTGTTTATTGAGTAGATATTTTTGTACAAGTAAAGTCTAAAACAAAATTTTCGTACTATGAGCGTGAATAAAGCTTAGCAAGTTTTATTTCCATCGGTTCAATAGACCCTTAAGCAGGACCAACTTCCTGTACTTGATAAAGTGGGATAGAAGAGCATAATCTACACAGATAAATAAAATTGAAGTGTCCATTTGTAATACCAAATTAACAGCTTTTTACTAAATACATTACACAATTTTATTTTTTTGTCTGTCTGTCTGTATGTCTTTCTGTCTGTCTATTCCGGCTAATCTTCAAAACGGCTGAACTAATTTTGACGGGACTTTTACTAGCAGATGGCACATGTTATAGAGTAACTTAAGCTACTTTTATTTAAAAAAAGAGTTAGGGTTCCGCTCAAAAAAATATAAATGTACCACTAGGGACGCACTCGAGCGAAGCGAGAGTAAGCCGTTAGTAAATAATAAAGTTAATTATATGTTTGTGCGTAAATAGAATCACAACGTACTTAATTATGCATTTATCATATCGTAAACAAGACACAGTATAATATTACGGGGCAATAAATTTACCTCTGTCGGGTTACAGCTGATCGTGAAGCAATAACTGTTTATGGGGTCTATAAGACCTGTTTACATACAGATACAGACATGATTAGGTAAATAATGTACATTGCACAATATATTACAATAGCGCATGTTTGTTTGTTAGAATATTTTTTCGCAAATGGTTAAATAGCGACTTTAATATCCAGTCATCTATTCTGTATATACAATAGATAAATAAAATTGAAGTGCTTGTTTGTAATGTCAGAATAATAGCTTTTTACTAAACGCGTATGAAGGTACCGTATATACGCATATAAGAATATAAGGTACTTATAACAGAACAACAATTTCTTGTCTGTCTGTCCGTCTCTCTGTTTGTTCCGCCTAATCTCCGAAACGGCTGAACCGATTTTGACAGGACTTTCACAAGCAGATAGCTGATATTATAAGAAGTAACTTAGACTACTTTTATTTTGGAAAAAGAATCAGGGTTCCGCGCAAAAAAATTAAAGCTCATGAAATATTGAATGTAATCCGCGCACCTAGGATCGCATCCGAGCGACGCGAGGGTAAGTCACTATTTAAATTAATAAAGAAAGATATTTTTTTAAATAAAAAATGGACGATGAAAATCACACACAAAAGCAATTTATTTAATGATTGCAAAAAAGTGCCAGCCAATGTGTGTAAAAAATACACACATTTAGCAATTAAGTTTTCACAAATAAGAAACACATAATTAAAAGTATATTTTAAATATAATTTTTATTATAAACACAATTTAAAGTATATGAAAATATTATAAAAAATATTGATAATGTTATTGATTAATTTCTTAAAATTTATAACATAACAGTTCATTATATCTATATGGTTAAAGTGAGTATTATAATCACGACAAGACCCATGTAAGCAAATTTTGTTCTGTTGAAAGGTACATGGTATAGATCTCTTTTACGTGTGTGGATAAAATATGGAGAGTCAATAAGGTTGTTAAGTAATTTAAATAAAAAAAATTATCTTTAATTCTGCGACGATTCAATAGAAGCTGAATAACAGGGCATATTTGCTGAAGGGAACTATTTCTAAAACTCAAATTCTTGATAAACTTACGCTGGACTTTATCAATTATCTCGATACTGAACTTATATCGTAGATTCCAAACTACTGAGTCATATTCTAAGGTCGAGCGTACCAAGGTATAATACAATAAGATTATTGTAGAGATATTTTCAACATCTTTACTTACTCTAAGAATAAAACCTAACATTTTATAGGCTGTAGCAAAACATTCATCTCGTTGATGTGGAACTTGAAGGTTCATTTACTATCAAGGAGTATACCCAAGTCACGCACTTCCGTAACTCTTTTTAATGCATATCAAATTTATAATCAAGTGCATACGAGAAAACAGTCGTAGTGTGCTTCCTGGAAAATGTCATGATATATTTAGTTATTTAATAATAATGTGCAGATTAAATACAAATATGGGTATGTAAAAATGGGGAGGCAACAATAAAGAAGGGATTGGCGATTAGGTAGTACTTATTTACTAGAATAGGCCTCTTTATGTTACATACGTAACATCAATAAAGCTCTACGACACTAAAACTATCATTATTGTATTTATAGTTTTGATCTTATTTTAATGCTAGTTTTTTATCTAAAATTAAACAAACCCCATTTCTCAGTGTACTGTTAGACACTATTTAGAGAAATGTAGAGCATTTACTACAAGTCATTACAAACATAATCTCTACAATGCAAGACATTAAATTCAGGTCATAGATTATGCATCGATTGATCGGGATTAGCCGACTAATTAATGTCGGACGCCAGTACTGTCGATAAGCGACGCTCGTTATATAATAAAGCAATTTTCATGTAACAGAGTTAATTGGTTTTTGGTTATTTATGCATACTAATCAGATACTGTTTGTTTTGATTACGGTCTATATGGTAATCAGTGAATTCAAAATTTGGTAATCACAGGAAGCTTCAAGTCAATTTTGGCGATAGTGATTTTATATTCGATATTCTCAAAGATTTTACGTGTCACTTTTCCTTTAAGCAGATCAATATATACATATAATAAAATTGTAACTAAGCCGAATCTGTACATTAAATATTTTTTGGAAAGTCTTACTGTAATAGACATTATCATCGATAAAGAGGCGTATCTATAGTTTTTAGATTTTTTGTCTGTCTGTCTGTCTGTCTGTCGCTGTCGTTGTTGATTGCATCACGGAAAAACCGCTGGAGTGATTTTGATAAAATTTGGTATAGGGATAGCTGGTTACCCGGGCCAACATAATACATCTTTACTGTGGGAAAATATCTCATCACTGAGAAATATATACTTTATTATGATGTGAAAGTTTGTGATGATGGATGGATGGGTGTTTGTTACTATTTCACGCCAGAACGACTGAACGGATCTGGATGAAATTTGGCACAGAGATAGATTATAGTCTAGAATAGCACATAGGTTAGATTACTTTTTCGATAAATGTACGGTTCCTGTGGGACATTTGTTTTTGTTTTTCACTAAAGACGATCTCGAGCGAAGCGAGGGTGGGTTGCTAGTGTAAAATAAAATACTCTATTTAGGGCGTATTAATGTGTAGTAATTTAATCAATTACCTTTAAAATCTTTTATATGCTCTGTAATACTTTACTGTTTTATTGTTTCCCTAAAATAAATGAAAATCAAAAAAAATAAATAAATGTATGAACCTTTTTAGAGCATAGTTTGAAAAGTAAAGAGTATGATCATTTTTCACACTCGTCTAATATCGAAAGATATCAGAAATAATAAAACAATCGAATTAGAGTCAGTTCATCTATATGAAAGCTGCGACACAGATAAACAGAAAAGTGTCAAAGTTATAAAACCTCGAAATTTATGGTAGGGACTTAAAATTTAATTAATACACAGAGATAAGCTCTACAATGCTAAAAATACTTTTAAAATTATAAATTTGCATAATCTATGTAGGGTTTTTGGTAATATCAAAAATATTATTATAGGTAAAAGAAAATCCATTTCACGTCAAAGTTTCCGGTATCGTCGGGATAATGGCAGGAGATATTTATATTTTTCGGGACATTTATGAGTAAATAAATGGAAAAGATTTATGTGTAAAAATGAAAGTAATTCGTTTCCGTTTGGATTGCTTAGGTAAGAAAATACTCCATACTTTGGCGTTATTACAGAAATCATAGAAATATAAGATAAATAAAACAATATCAACTAATTTTTCTTTTATGATTTAGTGTTTACTTATAGGATACTAGCGCTGTCGGAAAGTAGCGTAGCTGAATCCTCACTCCACTCGGAATTGTCCCTAGGTAGGTTTTAACGGTTAGTATATATTTCTCAGAGATTAGATATTTTCTCATAGTGAAATATATCCTATATATCGATCGGGATAACTAACTATCATCATACATAATTTCATCAAGATCTGTTCAGTGGTTACGTTCCCTGACAGACAGACTGACAAAAATTCTTAAAACTATAGATTCGGCCTCTGTATCGATAATAATTACTATTGTAATGCCTATTTCAATAAGATTTTCCAAAAAAACTTACGTGCAATTCGACTCATATTTTATTATATGTATAGATAAATTTTGACATATTTTTCTTCCATCTACAACACATCTGTCAAAAATCATTATTTGCCAATGGATTAAACTTAATTTATGCAACTTGATGTTTCGAGTGGGCGGGTTACGAGGTGCGGGGTGGAGCGTGACGAATTTGAACTACAATGTATAGGAAGAAATATTCAAAGAACTTTTTTGAATAACAAATAAAGCTGCATGAATATATATATTTTTTATATTGTCTATTGCAATGAGACCCGATACTTCTCGGATAAATTTAAAAAAACGTAATAGTTCCGATACGGAAAATAAAAAAATCATCATATATATAAAAAGTCGATCAAGTGCGAGTCGGACTCACACACGAAAGGTATAATTAATTTTATTTAATTTGCATGGCAGCCTCTTTGAAATACGTCATTTTAGTTTTTTATTATTTGTTGTTATAGCGGCAATAGAAATACAAATTCTGTGAAAATTTCAACTCTAACTATTACGGTTCATGAAATAAAGCCTTCTGACAGACGAACGGACGTATGGACAGTGGAGGCTTAGTAATAAGGTTCTGTTGGCACTCTTTGGGTATGGAACCTTAAAAAATATAAAATCGCAGCTAAAATTATTATATTTTTGAATTGAATTTAAATTTATCACGTATAAAAATCCGTCATTTGAAAACATAGGATAAAGTAAAAATATGGTTTTATAGTTTACGCTGTTACCTTAAGAAATACAAGAGTTTGAGAGTTAATCTTACTAACAAATACGAGACGCTGTTGTATTCATAGTGGGGCTTGGGATATCCCTCGTATCCACATGTCAAAATTGGAAATAATGGATGCCGGATCTTAATACCAGTAGTTCTACTGTTCACAACGAACCCGTCGAGTCGTTTCAAAGTCAAATGGAACAGACAATAAAAAAAACGAAGAAAATGTATTTGAAATTGATGCAATAAAATAAAGAGCAACATTAAAAAGATGTTGCAGTTGTTTGAAACATTTTAAGTTTGTTTTATAATTGTAAGATTTTACTGCTAAAAACTTAATATGTGATTATAACAATTAAATATACACGAATTGCTTACACTATCATTGAGGTTATAGATATTAGAATTTGATTTTATGTTCAATAAATATTATTATTTATTGCGCTCCGGACACATTACATTAAATAAGTTTGGGTATTTAATGAAGAAAGTTCTTTCTCCTAATTGTCCCGATTGCGGAGTTATAGAGGATGTGTACCATATTTTAATGGAATGTGCTCGAAGCGAACCCCTTTTATCACAATTAGCAGATAGATCAATTGGAATATGTAATATATATCTAGCAAATCCTACTTCAGAGTCAGCCAAAATTATGTATAATATAGGTAAACATAACATAAGTAAGCGAAACTAAATAATATTATAATTAATGTATAGATAAGAATATTTGTGTAACCTACCAGAGCAACATAGTCGCCCAAGTGACTCAGCTCTTTAAATGAGAATAAAAAAAAAAAAAAAAATTATTATTTATTAAAATTGCTTTTACTATTAATACATCTTGACAAAAATTAACTCGATTCTAATTATATTTTAAGAAAATCTCGATCAATGTCCCGGGACGTCCCGGGATTTTGATCGTGGATGGTCTCGTGTCTCGGGACTTTGAGAATCTTGAGACTTCCCAAACCCTAATTCATTGTTTGTCAACATTGTCTCGATATAAATATGTTTTGTTTATTATTGAAAACAAAATTATAATAACTTCAGGCATGATAGTGATGTTTCATGCCATTCCGGACTACCTTAGTATAATAAAATTAATTTTACCTATAAACCACTGTCCATGGTGGTATTTTTTCTTTCTTCTCCACTTTATACATTAGTTGATCTCCGAGGAAGCTGAATGGTCCAGCCGAGAACGTCAGGGTTACATCTCGATTGCTTCTGCTCACTACTTCAGGAGGCGGCGGTTGCCACACTTCAAGTTTATTTATTATTAATTCCTTTATATTCATTTTTTATTTACATGCGTCTTTATAAGCGGATCGTCCTATTTTTTTTACTTTTTAGTTTATTTCCTATGTATTTTTTTTGGTTAATTTGCGATTTTATTCAGTTTTCAGTTTCAAACCAAAAGTTGTCGCTGGATATAATTGAAAAATTCGATCTTTATTAATAAATGCATTGTTGTTTATGAACACTGAACAGTATTTTATTTCTTAAGAAAGTTCATTTATCTAAATTCATTCATTTTTATTATTTCAAGCTAATTTTCTTATTTAAAATATTCTTATTTATGTTCACTTGTACAATATACCTTTCGTCCTGTGGAAATAGTAAAAATAATTACGTATGTATCTATTCTAACATTATAAAAATAGATAATATTATTATTAAAGGGAATTTTTTTTGTTTGTTTGTAATAGGCTTCGAAACTACAGAACCCACTTAGATGAAATTTAGTAAATGAAATTAATATTTATAAATATTTTCAGAACCTAGGAAGGATATAGGATAGTTTATCCAGAAATCATCTCTTAAGGGGGTGAAAATGGGAGTTGTGATTGGTGTATATATATATATATATATATATATATATATATATATATACACTAATCAGATTACTATTTTATGAATGTCAATGTTTGTACGTTTGTTATTTTTTTACGCTAAAACGGCTGGAGAGATTTGGATGAAGAGTACACAGACTATGAATTGGAGTAACAATGACGTAACAAGTCAGCACCTGAGCGTAGCGAGGGAAAGTTGCTAGTAATTTATAAATGAGAACTTCGAAGTTGTGAGAGTTAACGTATTTGTTGCTTTATCAAGCTATACAGCTCAATGGTTTTGCGAAGAAAATTAAACTACGATAGCTTATATACTAGTTTTACATAATAACAACAACAACAATATCATGTGAACAGATCAAGTAAAAACTTGTGATAAATAAGAATGTGAAGTTTGAATTTGATTTCTTGTATGTAGCGCTAAAACGTGAATTAATATCAATATTTTTAAAATTATTTGACTCTTTGTTTTTAAGATTAAATAAAAAACTTATACACAAGGTTTAGGTTTAAATATATTTTTTTTATTTATTATCAAAATAACCTTCATCAGTAGCATTAATAATAAAATATTTGAATTATAAAAAATGTTGCGGATAACTTTAAATGAAAAGAATCAAATAACTGTTAGTACATTTCCACTGGCCTGCAGATATATTGGAGCGGAGTTTAAAATCTTATCTGTTCTAGGCAGCGAGTGACCAGCCATCTATATACTACAGCCCGGCTGAGTAAAGTAATATATCGCTGAAGTCAGCGCTGAATGCACGGCGCGATTTACTGACAAATTGCTTTCTTGTATAACAGAAGGAAATTAAAGCTTCGCTACATATTATAAATTAAAGTTGAGTTTATGTTTATTCTGGCTAATTTTAGAGAACATTGTACAGTATTTCATACGGTTTGTAACAATAAAAGATGTGTTTTATAGGAAGATTATAGTCTACCACGCCAATCCAGTGCGGGTTTTCCAACCATTTACGTTTTCTTCAAAAATTAGTAAGGATCTCTTAGACGTTCAGGTTTCTTCACGCTATTTTCCTTAAACGTAAGGCAAATGATAATCATATTGAAAATCGGTCATATTTAAACATCACAGTAATAAGTTATTTACGCAAAAATTATAATATAAACTTTATACTGCGTTCACGTGTGCAAGAAAAATGAAATGATCAAGTAAAAAATACTTTCGAATTTATAAAATAAGTAAGGTAGAGCAAGCGTTAAACAGCATTTAGTAAAGAGAGCGATAAAACAAAATGCTGAGCTTTTCAGTTTCTTTTTATCATATCTTATTATATTTTTATAGGAAAACTAAGGATCTAATGTTTTAGAATAATAATACTTAGTACTTACAAGTGAGTGAAGTTAATGTAAATAGTAAAGAACTAAAACTAAAAACTAAAGTTACAATTGAGGTTTCTATAGCAGTTACAAATGTTTCTTCAAAACGTGTTACATCAATAGTATGGTAACTAACGTATTTTATTTGCGCTTGCAACATCGCATAAATATAACTGGAAATCTCTTCGAGTTGAAAAAAAATAAATTTAATTTTTTACAACTTTCAAATATATAAAATATTAAAAAATAAATGGAATATTATCTTAACTTAAAAATCCCTCTCTTAATAGTGGAATATTGTTTAATGAAAGGTAAAGTCATATTTTTAAATCATCTTAAAATAAATTATCCGCCTGGGGTAGATTATTTTGAAATTTAAATGATATTTCAGAAATATATTTAAATTTTTTCCTTAAAAATATTAAAATCAAAATCAGTTCACAATAGGCGATATCGTAAGTGACACACATAAAAAGATTTTAAGTTGACCACCTCTTTATTTTGAAGTCGGTTAAATAACGTTTATAAACAATTTTCATACATTATTTCGAACCTTTGACGATTTTTCATGAACATATATAATATTTACAAGATACCAAGCACTTGGCAGAGCAATCCCTCGCCTGAAGCTATTTTTCAAAATGATAAACTGAAGTAGCACTATATGTGTATAGTAGAATATATACACTGTAAGAATACTATAGACTTTAGGTGTGTATTATTATTTAATATACATACAAAGCTCTTAGCAAATCTTTCAGCTTTATAAAAATGTCGGGGGTAAAGATAAAAATGTATTTTTTTCTTATAGGATTATTGAGATTTATTAGGAACTAATTCTGTCATATTATAATTGAAAATATCTTTTCGGTTTTTTTCGCGAATTTATTTTGATTTTTGTTGCCGATGTTTTGAATGTTTTACAGCAATCATGGTCATAGGAGAGGCTAAGGTTTTAGACGTGTCATGGGTCATTATATAGTAATTACAGACAGCGCCTACCCATAAAACTCTGTGGCCTCTCCTACATCAACAACAAATGACAAACAAAGAGATTCATTAGAATTCGGATATAAAAAAACAGATAGCTGATATGAAGCACCGTCGCAATACAACGTCTTCGGTCTGGGAACATAGTCAAGATCGCCCAAGAAACTACATTAGCTTTGATAGTCCGCAAATACTCGGGGCTCATTAACCTCCGGCAATCTAGCCACTCGTGAAGCCAAGAGTCACACTGGAACGCGGCCAACGTGGACTGTGGGAGCCATCCCTTGGTTGTGTGGTCTGCTTCAGCAGACCTGCCGTCGTGGGGTGGTGGTGGAGTGCGTACGCGATCCTGCGACGCCCCATTAAGGTGGAGTAGGTTCTGTTGGATTTTAGTGGGAAGTACTGATTATTCTAGCTCACATAACCGCCTGCATATATACAAGTGGTATGCGTAAATACATTTCCCAAGGCTCTACTGCGATTATTGCCGTAAGATATATGTATAGAATACCATGTTTAACGTTAAAATATGTGAAAATGTATCATCTATTGTCACAATAATAAAAAAACAGATAAAACTGAACTAGAAATCTGAAGCTATCAAAAATTGCTGAATACATGCCAGCGAAGCTCTAGCACTCGATCGTCCAATTCCAATTCGGATTACACATACATATGTATATATCTATACTAACAATGCCATATGTGTAATATGTACGTATTCTTGATTTACTTACGAGACAATAACGTATAATTTCAACAAAATAGTTTTCAACAAATTGGTCTAAATAAAATATGACATTTAGAATTCTGTAGTCAAAAGGCAAAAACGAAATACTTTTTATTTGATAATATTAAAATACTTTTAATAAAAATTATTTTCGAGAAGTTATATTATGTTGAGATATGTTAGAGATGCGGGATACTTCGGGTTACAACCCTGTTGGTTAGTTTAGCGGCCGCAAAATATACTTCGGTAAATATTATTTGGCCGTCTATGAGAAGTATTTAAAAAACAAAACCTAATTTTACTTTCGATAAAATAGATATTGAGGTCGGTCAATACTTTTATTTTAGTTTTAAGCTAAACTTGGATTATAGAGACCTAACGTGATCTTTTTGGAACAATTATAAAAAAATCATAAAAATCTTTAATTCATTATTGGCTAATTAAATTTAATTACATATATAAAACATTATGAAATATATAGAAGTTAAAAATATTAATATAATTTTTTTTGGATATTAAAATTATGTATATAAAACCTTCTTGGAGTCATATTATTTATTCGCCTATTATGAATGATTCAAAATTTAGCACGTTGAAAAGTAATTTGTGCATATTTCATGAATCAGGACATAACTTTATTATGAAGTATTTTAATTTAGCATTAAATTATAAAATTTGATTAGTTATTTAATTATAAAGCTTAATTTTACTTTTGTTACTTACTTCCTAATTAGTTTTAGATTAATTAACTTATGAACAGACCTACTAACACTACTCAAGTATCTACCTCATGACATCACATGCTATCTCATATTATGTAGGCGTATAAAGTGAAAGTTTCTTTTTGTCGGAAAACAAGTGAAAATAAGTACATAAGCTGAATCTTAAAGCTCGCACTTTTAGAGTAAAAACTTGAATATAGTAGAGACAATGCGAGGCGTAGAGTGGAGACATTGTTGCCGAAATTAATAAATTACGTCATCGCCGACTCGCACTTCGCGAAAAGTTATTGTTCTACGAGCGCTTTTGTGTAGCGCGACTAAATAAGTGGATGCATATTATAAAATTGTAGAGTTTGCAAATATAAATTCACTTCAATCTTTTTGATTATACTTTTGACAGAATATAATATTGAAACACAAACATTTTTAATGACATGTTGTTTACAACGCCATTATATTTTAATGGAGGAGACTATCAAGTTCGAGATTGCAGGTTCGATTCCTTTACTACAAGTATGTACTACTCAAATAAATTTATATACTTTTAGGCGTAAGTTACAGGTTAAATCTAAATATAATAAACTAAATTCAATAATTTTAATAAAGTAGAGTTAATCGTTTAAATAACTACTTATATATTTTCAGAGATTACATAAGAG